ACTCACCGAACCGTTAGCTTGATTCCGCACGCGAATGGATGCATTCCGTTGCTTGCGTGCGATTCGTTAACCTCGTCGCCTCGTTAATCCGCTTCGTTGCGTGTCACTTGGCTTCGGTGTTGTGGACTGACGCTCGTGTTTAGATACGTCACTCGATGGTTCGTTGGTTTGTCGAAATCACCGTGCCGAGCTATGTTTAGGGACCTATAGGCAGTTTTATACGCCTACAGCTTCCAGGCTTGAGACAGTGATACCAATCGACTTGAGGCTTGCTAAGGGTGTCGACAAATGATCGAACCATCAAGGCTTCATTGCTGGTGATCATGCCCAAGTGGGACTTAAAGGAGATTATATGCTGAGTGGGCGAGCCCTTCCTGTCAAATGGCGTGAAGTTGATCAGGTTGAACTTCACCCGATATAGGCTCGAATCCCACTCTCTCGGGTAAGGACACAGAATGCCGGTCTTCTTTACCTCTCGAGCAGACATTAGAGCGTTGATTTTGCTCTCGAGATCCTTCATCTTTTTGTCCTTGTCTGTATCTTGCTTCGGACGATTTCTGAGAGAAACAACGGGACCACCCATAGCGTTGTTATCTTCAGTGGGACTACTCCCAGTGTTGTTATCTTTAGGGGACGTATTTGAACCACCCTCAGTATTTTTGGAGGGTGCATCGGCCATGATGACTTCGTTCACCTCTGGATCGCTGTCGACAGTGGCGTTCTGGGTGCGACGGCTGGATTCACTAAGTTGATTGGACAGAGCCTGCATCTATCGGTCATGCTCTTCCTTCATCTGTATCATGATCATTTCTAATTCAAACTTGAAGTTTTCTTTTTACCTAGCCAAAGAATCCTCGATGATTTTGGTCATTTGTTCAGCATTGATCATGAACGCCTCACGAGATTGTCGTATGCTAGACACCGTATTGTTAGAAGCGATTGCAGAGTTCGCATCTAATGCTTCATCATTTAAGGATAATCCGCTATTCATCCTCTGATAGTCCCTACGCATAGTAGTTCTTGCGTGTAACTGAGTTATACATTGGGATACGTCCAAAAAATGACGAGAACTAAAACTTCGCGTTGACTTCCCTTTATCAGCCATATTGATAGTGACTTCTGAGAGCTCATCGTCTTGCGTAGCTGATCTTTTTCTATGGAAACACCTTGGCTTGGTTTCCGACGCTTCATAAGAAAGCCTTTGGAATACCGAGACCCTCTGTGGAGCGGTCTTGGGGTAGCTACACACTGATAATATTGTTCTGATAATTTTGGTACACGGACAGTGAGAGTCCGCTTTTCGGGTACCTTTCTTTCAAGATTTATTCGTACCCCCAGCCCAATAGTATAACTCATCGACGTTGCGGTCAGAGCAACCTATCGGCTGTTTACATGAATTCTTAGGTATAACGCGTTCGTCTGTTTGACGTGTTTTCTTTTGAGTAAACAACCCCTTGTTGGTGTCTATAGGAGTCACACATTTGGAATCACACTTTTCTGAGGGTGAAACCTTAACGGGCTCCTGGCCTTCTGTACGCACCGCTAAGTTGGCGGTTACGGGAATCAACTTGTTAGGAGATCACGTACGACCCCCAGTCTGGATGTTTGCTCGGGGTTCCTTCAACGGTCCTAAGCATTCCTTAACAGGCACCTTGCCTCGATCTTCGGGTAGAGAACTGAGGTAATCCTTCAATGGAATTCTAACTCTGGAGAGGTCCATACCATCGTAGGGTTCTACCAGAGGCATGGAAGCGGAAGGAGCGGGATCCGAAGTTGACGAAGGCTGGAGAGCAACGTCGCTTGCTTTTGCCTTAGGCGTTGATTTAGCCTTTGGCATCCAAATTTGTTTGGATCTCGATGATCTCTTAACTGCCTCTTTCTTTTGCATTTCTTGTGCTTTTCGCACCAGGATCTGGGCATGCACAAGAAGTGCACGATGCTTCTGAATGCGCTCCCCAAGAGTGGAACAGTTCCGTTTGATACGAACTCATTCATTAGTAGGTGGTTGGGAGGAGGTTCCCGAAGCTTGTTACTGGAACACATGGCGTCTTCTGAGTTTCAAATCCGCATCATAGCAGATCCCGTCAACAGGCTTCAAAGCCTTGGCAAATTGGCACGCGAGATATTGACGGCGCCTTTGACGAGCCCTCTTCGTCAGCACTGGTGCACTTTCAACGGACAACTCTTTGACTTTCAAGGAGTTGTCACGAACATTGGATCTGGTTTCTTTAGAGGCCAGAGAGGGGTCTTCCACTGCTTTCGGGTTTAGATCATCAGCCCTAATCTTCGGATCTGAAGGCACGTTCTTCGCTGTTCGCGGGAAAAATTGTTTTCATTGATGTCATTGTTTTCTTGAGCAACAGTTTATCGGTTACAAAATTGATGTCATTGTTTTCTTGAGCAACAGTTTATCGGTTACAAAAGATCCGGTCTTTTTATAAGATCTGGTTACAACAAAGCAACAGTTTATCGGTTACAAAAGATCCGGTCTTTTTATAAGATCTGGTTACAACAAAATCAAAAAAAAAGAAAATCTTAAAAGATTACAATTTTCCTTTTCTGGAACAAATCACAAGATCCTGTTTTGCAATCTCTTGCTTGTGTGGGTTCTTTTCCTTCGCCGGGGTTAATCCGTTGACCACTGCGCGATCTTGATCCGATCGGATCTACAGCTGAGGGGATTATTTCACCAAGGAAATAATAGCCCTAAGTAATCAAAATCGACCAAGCGAAATCGATACTCTTCTCGGGATCAAAAGAAAACAAGTTTTGATCTAGAGGATGACCGTGTGGATCTCAGATCTGATATCTCTCGAACTCCTACATTATTTGACGTGGATGATCGCCAAGAACTAGATCTGAAAAGTCCGAGTCTTCAAAGCTCCAAAACTCCGAAGTTTAGCTCTCAATCCAGCAGAGTTTTCACCTCAAAAGTTCAACCAAAAATCCCACCTCCTAAACAATAATCTTTCAAGTCTATTTATAGGCACCTCAAACCAGATCTGGGCTCAGATCTGGGCCCAGATCTGGGCTCGGCCACCTAGGTGGCTCGGCCTCGGTCACAGCCACCAAGAGGTGGCTTGGTGAGCCACCTAGGTGGCTCGGCCACCGAGCCACCAAGAGGTGGCTCGGTGAGCCATCTAGGTGGCTCGGTTTTGGCTGAGCCCTCTAGGTGTTTGCTTCTTCGACCGTTTTCCGGTTTCGCGGTTTATCCGAACTTCATTGTTGATCTGGACTTTGATTTGGCAGTCCGGATCCTTATTTGGCTGTAAATCTACTTTGGTGTTCGAGTTCGAGTCCGCTCCCGATCTTGTTTGATGTGGTGGACTCTCACTACCACAAAATAGATATATGGGGACGGTTATTTGGGGACGGTTCAAAACCGTCTCCTTTGCCTCCTAAGGGAACGGTTGTGTGACGGTTACAATCGTCACGCAAGAGTCTAAGGCAACAGTTCAAAATAAATTGTTGGGCTTAAATTAGGTTTGAAAAAAAAACTTTGTTAGGCTAAAGGGACGGTTTTATCAAGAGCTCGCGCCCAAACTTTTTTAAGAAAATTTATTTACCGTCTCAGACCCGTATAACTCTAAACTTAATTTCTTCACCCGACTCCTCTCCTCTTCTCTCGTCGACTCCTCTCCTATTTGTTAAAAAACTTTGTTAGTCTAGGGCTTTCTCATCTTCCTCTCCTCTTGTCGACTCCTCACCTATTTGTCTGAGGCATCGCGTCCGCCGTCCGCCACTCCTCTCCTCTCGTCGACTCTCCCGTCCGCCGCTCTCGTTTTTCCTCTCGTCCGACGCCTCCGTACGCCGCCGGCCACCTTGACCTCGTCAGTTCGCCGCGCCTCTCCCGTCAGCCGCGCCTCTTGTCGCTATCCCCTCTCTATCATCTTGTGATTTGGGGTATATCTCTCTCCTTTTCAGTCACCAAACCTATGGTTTCAATTTTTTTTCTTTTTCTCTGCTTAATGAAAATTTTATTTGATTTTACAAATTAGGGCTTTGTTGTTTTGGTTGATCATTGAACTGGACAAGGTTAATCCGCAAAATTGAATTGGAGGTTATTCCCAATTTTTGTTTAAATTAATTTATTTTCTCTATTTATTCTGTTTATGCTCTTCGCTATAGCCTTTGGTTGATCATTCTGTTTGGTTTTTTTACTTTATCGGGATCTACAGTGGGCTTACTAGCCGAATAATGATGTTGGAGTAATTTTTTATGAAGTGGTAGGTTTTGTGATGATTAATAATTTTTATGTGATAATTAAGGGTTATAGGCTATCTTAGGACTGCACCTAATCCATTTAAGTTTGGGTTAATGATTTCTATTACCTAACTACAATAAAAGTGCATTAGGGGATAGATGAATAGAGAGGATGTTTGTTGAGATATATGTGATTCTCCAAGATTGGAGCAAGTGTATCAATGAAATTTTGAATATTTATAAGATGTTGTCATAATATTTACCTTCTTTCCCAAAATCAATGTATCAAATAAATATTCACTAATTCCACAATTATATTTTGTTATGCAAGTGAAAAAGAACCATTAAACCACAAAGCATTAATATGCATAGAAGAAAATCAAAATAAAGCTTGGAAGCAAGAAAGAATGGAGAATTTAGAATGAGCAACAACATAAACTTGCAAACTAATAAATATTCATTTTTAGATATAAACATGTCTTTGTTTATGTATACTACTATTAAACAAATAATTATGCTTTAGAGAGACTAGTCCTTTAAAATAACTTGCAAACTCTATAATGATAAGATTCAGTTCTCTAAACAAAATATGAAACTAATAAATATTTATTTTTTTAGATATAAACATGTTTTAGTTTATGTATACTACTCTTAAACAAATAGTTATGCTTGAGAGAGACTAGTCTTATAAAATAACATGCAAACTCTTTAGTTGATGAATTTTTATACATTATAAGTAAGTAGATATATATTATTGATGTCTCAATATATTTACTTTTGTCTAGCAGATACAAATTATGGATGGAGATAGAGGTTGGATGTATAATACTTCTCGCGTAAGTGCCGAGTACATTGAAAAAGTGAATGACTTTCTTGATAAAGCATTTGCAAAAGCAGCTAAAGGGAATGAAATATGTTGTCCTTGTCGTGGTTGTTTTAATCGTTGTTGGCATCAGCGAAATACTGTCTGCAATCACTTGATTGTCAAGGGATTTATAGATAATTATTACAAATGGGTTTTCCATGGTGAGGATTTGCCATCAAGATTGAACGTCCATAGCGAGAGTGATGATGATGATGCACGTACTCATGATGATGTAGGCGGATTACTACATGATATTTTTAGAGGCACAATAGAAGAGTTTTCAGATAACGATGAAGAAGACATAAAGGAAGGCACAGAGGAATTGACCGAGGATGCTAAGAAATTTTATAAGTTAGTGGAAGAAGGCCAACAAGAGTTATTCCCAGGATGCAAAACTTTTTCCAAACTCTCTTTCATAATTCGATTATATCTGCATAAGTGCATACATGGACTAAGCAATGAGGCATTTGATGATTCTCTGACCTTGTGGAGGGAAGCAATTCCAGACATAAAGTTGCCAAAGTCTTTTTATGAAGCCAAAAGGATTGTCAAGGACTTGGGTCTCGATTATGAAAAAATACATGCGTGCTCTAACGATTGTATGCTATTCTATGGAAATGTAAATGGGAAACTGAATAAGTGTAGTAGTTGTGGTGCTTCTCGGTGGAAGCCAAAGAAGGATGATGCAGCAAATGACTCCAATCAACCAACTAAAAAGGTGCATAATGTTCCAGTAAAGGTTTTGAGGTACTTTCCTTTAAAACCTAGAGTTCAAAGACTATTTATGTGTTCTCAAACTGCTAAATCTATGAGTTGGCATTCTAAGGAGCGCATCGAGGATGGGATTCTAAGGCATCCGGCTGATGGCAAAGCTTGGAAAGACTTTGATGAAAAGCATCCAGAGTTCGCATTAGACCCTCGTAATGTGAGATTAGGGCTTGCTAGTGATGGATTTAACCCCTTTCGAACAATTTTCTCTGCTTAATGAAAATTTTATTTGATTTTACAAATTAGGGCTTTGTTGTTTTGGTTGATCATTGAACTGGACAAGGTTAATCCGCAAAATTGAATTGGTATATGTTTTCAATTTTTGTTTAAATTAATTTATTTTCTCTATTTATTCTGTTTATGCTCTTCGCTATAGCCTTTGGTTGATCATTCTGTTTGGTTTTTTTACTTTATCGGGATCTACAGTGGGCTTACTAGCCGAATAATGATGTTGGAGTAATTTTTTATGAAGTGGTAGGTTTTGTGATGATTAATAATTTTTATGTGATAATTAAGGGTTATAGGCTATCTTAGGACTGCACCTAATCCATTTAGATATGATCCCTTACATGTATAACTATATAAAATACGAGAAGATAACCTCATTTTTTTATGAAGTGGTAGTTTAGTAGAGTGCGGCCGGATCCTCTGTTGCATATCTATATTTACCTTCTTTCCCAAAATCAATGTATCAAATAAATATTCACTAATTCCACAATTATATTTTGTTATGCAAGTGAAAAAGAACCATTAAACCACAAAGCATTAATATGCATAGAAGAATATCAAAATAAAGCTTGGAAGCAAGAAAGAATGGAGAATTTAGAATGAGCAACAACATAAACTTAATGAGGTTGGTAGGCCTTAAATGTCAGTCTTTCCGCAGTCAAATAGAGTCTCGTATCTCTAATATAATATTTATTTCTTCCTTTGTATTTGCTAATAAGTAAACGATTGAGTTTCTACCCATATCTGCAGTTTTAGAAGTGAAGACATCAAGGACACTTCCTTCACCTTCAAAGGGAAGAAAGGCCCTCTGAAGGCAGCTAATTAGAGAAAGAATGGAGTATATGAAAACAATTTAAGAAATAGCTATCAAAGCTATTATTAAAGCAGTTAACTGAGGTTTAAGGTATTGGATTTAACAATAGGAAAAATATCCAAATTAATAACTGCATCATTCTTCCTAGCAAAGCTTACTATATAGCAAACTGTCAAATCCAGTCACATAGTAATTTGATATAATACCTGAGATGGATGGCCCTCAAAAATGAAAAAGTAAAGTCACTTTTGTCAAGTGATTAAAAATTATATGGAACACATTTAAAACTGTAATTAAGTATTGAGGTGAGCTTAAATTTTTACTATGAAAGAAGGATTGAGAAAGCAGGTCTATTTTTAATCATTCTATGAGAATTATTATGACAAGATCTCCTAGTTATACAGATACTCAATGACCCTTGGAATATATCATTTCATGTGTTTTAATTCGCTTCATGTCTTTCTCTTTTTAATACAATCGTAAAAGCCCCTCCTAGAGACGGTATGTATACTTGATTATTCTCTGAACAACCAAGGTCATTTCTCATCAAGTTTTCCTACAACTTTGTCCAATAATCTATTAATTTTACTCATTACAATATATTATTAAGGGCCTAAGTGTACTCCAAAATTGAGAAGTTTGCTAGTAAGGGGTCCGTTTTCGAATTAAATGTCTACCTTCATCTATGTCTCAATGTTTTCAAAACCAACACCGAGCACTGCAGCTTTTACGTGCTAGTTTGTAGGCTAATATCTCAAATATTATATCATCTCCACTTGTTGAACTACACAGGACGTATCATCAGTGTAATTACTAGTTATCTAATAATTTCTATTCTTGTGGAAACACGAGTATCTGTTGCGTAAATCTAGACATTAAGGGTCATATCTAAACACATGATATTGTAATGGTGAATGGATCTATTTGCGTAAATCTAGATAAATAGTAATCATATATGAGAACTTATTAGATTTATTAGAAGATCCTCAGATTTATTTTATAACTGCAAGTTGAAGATAAAAAAAAGAAAAAGAAAGAAAGAAAAGACTCTTCCAATAATTTCATGTCATTAATGCCATCAATAGAGGTCTCGTCAAATTATTCAATTGTTGTCACAACTTCTATTTTATGTCATCTCAAATTTTGTCTATGTCATGTTGCAGTACGCCACTTGCTATCTTATTAATCATCATTCAACCACCACACGGCTTCCTAAAGCAGGACCAACAGTAGGGAGACTAGGCCGAGGCGAGAGTTCCATAGCAGTCGATTCTTGGTCTTCTTCGGCACGCCAGGCTTTCTGAGCATCCGACATAAGTTTGGAAGCCGGGGGTCCGAGCGTTAACTTCCGACGGGCTCTCTTGTCATACTCTGCTTCATCGACTGACCCCAGCTTTCTTTTTCCACTGGCACTCTGACTTCGAGTCAAGACTCTTGAAGGTTCCACTTCGCGAGTATCCGGCATCCTGATCTCTTCCGGAACTCGCTCCGGTGATTGCTGCCGTTCATCCTCTGGAATTAACTTCTCATAGGACAAGTATTCATTAGCTCCTCGGGCGCGAAACTTTTTAGCGCTCCTCTTCGAAGCATACCATTTGCGGATGTCCTTCAAACAAGAAGTATTCATGTTATAGGCTGAAAGCTGAGAAGCGGCTTGGTACCAGGTACAGAAGCTCAGAGAGGTGCGAGCATTGGGCATCTTGTGAGGAAGTCGGAATTTCGCTCCAGTGCAACCAGCCACTGAGTAAAACCAAGCTCTCGCTCCTTCATACACATTACCTATGAATGCAAGAGTAGGGTTTGGGTTCCCAACATAGAGCTGATCATAGCCAAATTGCCGAGAAAAGCGATAAGGCTGATATGGTTCAATAAAGCATTTCCGCCCTTGTCGAAAAATAAGATAGCCCGGACGAATGTTTATGAGCCACCAAAAAGCGCCCTTGCTAAGCATGGTGAAAGAATTCGGCCCCGGAGAGTCTTGATGAAGTTCTCCATACGCGCCACCCTCGAAGGCGGGAAACTTGACAGCAATCTTGTAATTATAATCCCGTCTCAAAATTTCACGGAATTTAACTTGGTACCAACCAGCCCAGTCAGAAGTTTCTAATTGCTGAACAAGAGGGGTTGAGGTGTCATTTGATTCAGGAGTCGTCATTATTGGAGGGCAGTGCAGCACAAACCAAGATACCAAGTAAATATACGGCATCGGCACCCGAGGGGTTGGGGTTTGAATGACGGTCGTCCCGTCAGAATCCACTTTCTTGACGGCAATGAACTCAGAAGATAGTTCCCGCAAGCCACTTTGTAAACAGCACACCATGGCTGAAAGAAGGTTCAAAGGTCGTCCATAAGCCAGTAGAACAGCAGGGTATAAAACTTCTACTGTAATAGCATCCACTGGCCTTGTGGGGACCACACAACGCTTCAACCAAAGAGTTAGAAAACCAGCAAACAAAGCCATGTCGGAGATTGGAACTTCTGCCTGATAGTGGAAACTTTCAAACGTGGTAAACGCCGGGAAGACATCCTCCTCAACCTCGCAAGTATAATGAGAAGTTGCGTCATTGATACGTTCGGTGATTTCCTCAAGGGTACTGGCCGCTAAGCGAGTCACCTCAGCTTCTTTGTCCCACAGATTGTGGAAAAGATATTCCGCCCATTGTCCTTGTTTCACGCCGCTTGCTCTTTTCCCAGTAATTTGCGCACATATCTGGAAATGGCACATCAATTCCCAGTAAGTGTCGTAGATTTCGGGAGCACCATTTTTCAGGATCTCTAATTCCCTGCTTCCGGGAACAAACTCCTCATAAGGCAATTCCCCAAAAGACAGTCCAGAAATCTCAAACATTTCGTGGAGAGCGAAGCCCAGCTCACCAACTGGAGTGAAAAAGGTGCCGGTGTGAGGGTTGTAGAATTCCAGCATAGCGAAGAGTCCGCTGTAATTCGGAGGAATACCGTATCGAGTGGCTGTTATAGGAACTCTCAAATCCGAAATTCTCAAGGGTTCTTCTAGTTCCTCCAAGACGAAATTTATCATCCGGGCCCACCAGTCCGCATCACTGGAGTGAACCCAAGTAGGGGCCCTGAAATCCCGAGCAGGGAACTCTCCTTTGACAGAAATAAATGTTCTGATAAACACCTCCGCTAACTTAGCAGACTCTCCGACAGGGTGCTCTTTTTGGAATAAACCTGGCTTCAAAGCCATGAAATTATTGAAACCAGCGGGATGAGTACCCCGATGAGTGATGTGCCCCGTAGCAACACCGCCTTGGTCTTGAACAAGTTCCCAATTCATCGACCGCGGAATAGAAGCGCACTGATAATAAGAAATCGGCCACATCCGCTCCAAATTGGGAAGGAAAAGACGACGGTTGTTGACTACCTTCAGCCATTTGTAATTCCCCTCGGACATCCGCTTGGGGTCCATTTTTACAGAATCCCCGAATAGGAAGGACGGCTTCTTTAAAATCTCACGCTCTGCGGTTTCGAATTTGGCATTTGTAACCAAAGACCTGAGAGTCTCAGGAAAGGCTTGAGTGATGAGCTTCGACCGTTCTTTGTGGGTGTTCTGAAACACTGGATATTCAAAGGCGAAGCTGAAGATTGTATTCTTCTCCGCACCTCCCGCATGACCGAAGTAGTGGTTGAAAGAAAGAGGCTCTTTGGAGTAGCATACTGCAAATAGAAAAATTAGTCATAAGAAGTCTAACTCAAGAATACAAGGTTCAAACCTGCGTTCGGGGTCTTGAACGCAGGGTCTCAACCTGCATCCGAAATTCTAAACGCAAGGTTCAGACCTGCGTTCGGGGTCTTGAACGCAGGGTCTCAACCTGCATCCAAAATTCTAAACACAAGGTTCAGACCTGCGTCCAAAATTTTTTAAAACACAGGGTCTGAACCTACGTTGAAATTTCAGGAACGATGGAACTAGCCATACGTTTAATTGGAATACGGATCGCCAATCAAGGGTCGAAAATGAGAGATCTGTCAAATCGACTTCCAATGGGTCAATCTTACCATTGGTTGAAGGAACTAGCGACGAAGGCGTGAGAACTTGATCATCCCCGGAGGCTCTAGCCGAAGAAGCACCCTGAGCTTCGGCGATCTTCGATTTGGACGCCATTTTCTTCTTAGGTCCCATGGCAATTGTGGCGAAGAAGACGAAGATGGGCGAA